CCTTTTCCGTGATCTCAATACGCTGAGGTATGCCGTCTGTACTATACGTTAATTTTGATACGAGACTCTTAGGCGAGATCACTCCCTCGAGAGACTCGTAGTACGAGTTTCTCAAGCGAGTGACCCAGCCCGGGAGAGGCGAGAGAGGAGAAAATGAAACCCATCGCGGGTGGTCCACAACGCAACCGTGAAGGGCAAGGCACACACACGCAGTGAATAACTCGCCAAGTGGCTTCTACATCTTTCCCTAACAAGTTCCCCTAGTGGACAGGCAATGACTTTCTAAACTACAGTGAATGTCCAAGCTAGTAATCAATAATTAGTTATGAAATATTAGTCAATAATCATAATTAAAAGCTCGCTTGTCAAAGTTTGACAGTCAGCCGCACGCAGAAAAAGCTGTACATTCCGCCAACGTTTGCCACGAATCTCCCAGAAATCAGACGAGTTTGAGAAATGAGTTTTGTAAACCAATTTTCAGATGTAACTCGCCCACTCAACCGAGATCTGACCGAAAGTGCTGTTGATCGGTGATGGGAAACGTCGTTGCCGCAACGACCATAATGGTCGGAATTACGCCGCCATGGACTGAACTTATTGCAGTTGAGGTGTGGAAAAATACCAAGTCTAGCAATGGGGTCATCGGCTCCATCTAATAATGAGGTATAATCAAATCTATTCAATAATAAGGGTGGCCATACTACGGCCGGGATAGCTAGTCCGAGCGAGAACACGCCCGCTGCGTACTGGTGAAAGAAGTACAGAATAAACTGGCCCGCGTGACTATACATGCTGTAACTATACACTGACAAAACACAACACTCATGATCCTGATGATGCCCTATAGTAATAATAACAAGAACAGTAGTAGGCCAGTGTTGCAGAAATAGCTCCCGTATACGAGCACTACAAAACGATTATTATCATCATCATCTACTTCTAACCCTTCGCTACCTCTGTGGAAGATTCTCAGGGAGACTGCGAGGAGATTGACCCGCCCTGCTCCCCATCATCACCAATGACGACAACAACAACGACGACATAAAAATGTAAAACAATCAAATTATCATCTCTACTATACTTGAGAAAAATAATAATAATAATCACCATCACGAGCTTTTGCTCACACCACGTCGTTCACAGCGATAGGCGCAGACGATTCGCGCCGTATTCGTGCCGAGAATTGAATTATGAGAATCGCAAATGCAAATGTGACGCTGATACTCTCCGCCACAAAGCCGAAAACTGCCTTAAGAATAACCTGAGCAACCAGCTAGGCTCGAGAGTTTCCTCAGAAGAAACTCATTCTTGAAATTGAGTATTTTCATATATTATCGCCGACTGCATACTTTCCCCCACACACTAGATAAGACATTTAACAATACATGATAGTGAATCGAATCAAGAATATTGCTGAAAATTGAAAACTTCAGGTGTGGTGCTTTCTTTCGGCCGCCCTGTTGTGCAGTGTGAACCTATAGACGCTTTCATTACTATGAGTTTTCAACACATACGTAAGATTCTACGCCTTGCAACATCTCAGAATCGACTTACCAGTCTTGGTATAGTCCATGGAGTTGGAGGTATCATCATCAAACATGCCACGGGGATCGACAGAAACTGATGAAACACTCGATGAAGGAGACTGGAGTTTCCCAGCCACTGAAACACTAGTGAAAAGTATACTTCGCGACTACTGTATATCGATTGATGTAATTGTAAAGAAATAAATGACCGACCGCGCAGAAAATGCAATTAAATTCGTCTGCACGAGATGCTTCCCACATTACTATCGTGAGTAGAATTCCTCCGACCAGTGCCATTCTCAGCTGCCTCCATATCGCTTTGACTGAAGGGATGACCGACAACTCAAATAAGATACGTTGGAATGGTGGAGTTTCCCCCTAGTGATATGAAAAACACTAGAGAAAATCATTTTTAACAATTCACTTCGCGGAGAACAGTTGTGTTATCGGTCGCGGAAACATACGCGTCTTATGATCTACTTGAAGTATCACACCACTTCACGTCAAACGGTGAACACTATATGAATACTCGTGGGTGATAGCTAAACAGCCAGTTGCGCTGTCACTGTGGAAATTACTAAGGAAAATATACTTTCGCTTTCCTCAGCAGTGCTCAACAGTTTCCCCACTAATTATCGAAATTCGGGTAGAAGTGTCTACACATAAACCAACGAGGATTTCCCAAAATTCCCACACGTAGTTGGCCATGTGCATATTTCCCCCCAGAAATATTACACTTAGAAATAGGATTTTGCGGATCACTGCAAAATATAGGGTTGTGACTCAACCACGAAGAACAGGGAATTCTCCACGTGATCGATGGGAATGTCTTGGGGTCAATTGCCAAGGGCGACCTGAAATCTTCATACCTTCAATTAGTGCAGTTGGGCATCGTCCACGTCCTTCATGCTCACGTCCCGGGTTCAACCCCCGCGTACTCCTCGACTAATGTTAGTGTTCACTTTCCTTACTAATTATAAGAGTTCAGCTAGAGCTATACAGAAATCAATAAGAACCCACCAAAAAAATTTCAAAATTTTCATATCATCACCAGCATACTTGGAAATACATGTTCACTTTCCTCTGCCGAGTTTACGAGTTTCCTCACTAATTATAGAAATTCGGATAGGAGTTGACAGAAACCAATTTCCTCATAATTTTCATCTTGTCATCACCAACACATGGAGTTAACCATGTGCGTATTTTCCTACATTGTTTTTCTAGAGGTAATATCACTGCTAATTTACCAAAATTCCCTCATAATTTCCATATTGTCATCACCAACACATGGAGTTAACCATGTGCGTATTTTCCTACATTGCTTTCGTAATGCTAATATCACTGCTAATTTACCAAAATTCCCTCAAAATTTCATCAATTGTCATCACCAACACATGTAGTTGACCCTGTGCATATTCCTACCCGCCTTACTACCGCATCACTATATCTCGCATCGCCGCCGTCGGTGACAGCATCCACGTGATGCCAAACGACAGCAATGATGTGATACACAAATCAAATGCGATGGAATTCGGCCACACCCAGACTCCTAAGAAACAACTAAACAGTGTGGGAGGAATATATGTTTTTCGCTTTCCTCGAGTGACCCCAGGAGTTTCCTCACTGATTATAGGAGTCTATATATGAATTCGGGTAGAAATGGAGTTTCACCCTAGTGATATGAAAAACACTAGTGAAAATATATTTCACAACTACTGCATATCGCAGTTTTTTTCCACAGAGTATTACGCCACTTCACGGAAAACGGGTCAAACTCCAATGCGAATTTTCCGAAATTTTCTCAGAATTTTCCGATTATCACTACCAGCAGTGTCAGCAGTCGTACGGTAAGCGATCCAACCGAAGAGGGCATTGAATGCAGATGCTCCTATAATTGCTATGGACATCATCATCATCTGAAAAATATAATTTCAAATACAACGCTTAGTGCCAATTCGATACTATGCAAATGTGAAGAATATGCGTTTTCTATTCCGGGATTAATGATAGTGAACAACTTGTCGCTATCATAGCCTCGAAAGGTTACTTTTATCACATCACATGTTCATAGCAATGTTTACATTGTTTATGCGATATAGTTTCTGATCTCGGAAAGTAACACACATTTGCATCATATCAAATTGACACACACCGTAAATCACGAAATTCACTTTTTTTCAAAAACGTATTGAACTTACCAAATATAACCACAACGGTAACTCTATGAGATACTCCTTCCCTGTAATAAGACCAACGATCTTCAGTTTCAACCGATTCACGACGCCGTTGCTGAGCTCATCTGTATTTTCGCCATTTACCACTCGTGTTTGCTCACTAGGTTGAGCTCGAAACATGTAAATTCTATCTAATTCGATAAACATAAACATCATCATATTTACATATATTGGAGTTTCACCACCCTAGTGCTATGAAAAGTACTGGTGAAAAATATATTTCACGACTACTGCATATCACCGCGAATATCGCATTTTACGCCGAGTTTGACGCCACTTCACGTAAAACTCTATTATTGTATATTACATCTATGTGAATGTTATCACATGAAGTTAAACATGTGCATATTTTCCTACACTGCTACGTTTTCCATGTTAATATTTCAATTTGTTATTCTCCTCGACCGGACTATATTATTGGAGTTTCATAACCCGTTTTACGTGAAGTGGCGAAATACTCTGTGAAAAACATCGCGATATTCGCGCTATGCAGTAGTCGTAAAATATGATTATCACTAGTGTTTTGCATATCACTAGGGTGAAACTACGTCGGTCTAGACAGGAAATCAATAGTGTTACCGTTGTCAATGCTCCACATTTTTCGATCGATTTCCCTAATGTGAATGCCATCACATTAGGAACATCAATTTTACCATTTCATCAAATTCTGCATCCATGGTTCTGTAAATGTATCACTACATTTTCATACTTCCTAATTTGGTTATGGTCACACCTCGACAGTTGTATTCTTGAAACTCTACTCTGTAGGAAGAGTTGCCGTTCTACCACATAAAACTATAATAGTATTAGCCACCTTTTGGTTGTCCTATGACGTGATGTGTCTCTGAACTCGACATAAGAAGAGGAGAGGGAAAGAGAGAGGCGGCAAGGGGAACCACCGTATAGCCAATGAGGTGCACGCATACACATGTGCGTGACTGCGAAGCTGTCTCCTTCCATCGCCCACATCACATTACCACATTATTAACATATAATAATATAATCAATATAACATAGCATAGTATTACCGCTATAGAACTCTGGTAGGGCTAGTGCGGCAATATATGCACATGGTCAACTACATGTGTTGCTAGGAATATAGAAATTTTGAGAAATTATCATTGATTTTTGTATACTCATACCCAAAATCGAGCGATTTTTCATAATATAGTGAGGAAACTTACGAGCTCAATTGAGGAAACCAAGCATATATTCCCATACTGGGTAGGCCTATAGCTGTGATACTATTATTCCCAAAGTATTAAATTTCCATATCATGAAAACAACCATTTCAATGAGCCCACCTGGCGAACTACCAACTCGACCGTTCCTGGAAATATTGGAGTTTCACCACCCTAGTGATATGAAAAACACTAGTGAAAAATATATTTCACGACAACTGCATACCGCGAATATCGCGTTTTTCACCGAGTTTTACACCGCTTCACGTAAAACGGATTGTGAAACTCCAATGAATATTTCGCGGGAGTTCTTACCAAGGGTGAAGGAAATTCACCCTCTCACTGGGTGAGTTATCAATATGACTCCTGGTGGTCCGAGTGAGAAAGTACGCACATGGTCATCTACGGGTTAATGGGAATTCTGAGAAAATTTTGGTAATTTTTTCTTAATTTCTATACACTTCTACCAGAGCTCGTACAAGGCAAAAGCCTCAGTAGAGCTTGCCCAAAATTTCCCGAAATTTTTTCTTATTATCACAATCACACAACGTCGAGAATGTGCAAATTTTCCCACACAGCTCGGGGAATACTTGATATTTTGAAATTCAAAATAAGATTGAATAAATTTAATTTTGAAATTCAAAATTAAACTGAAAATAAATTGAAATTCAGTTTATTTTCAATTCAAAATTTGAATATGTATGAATAACGCGTGGCCTCGTATCTAAATATACCTACTATTACTATCTATATCACTTTATAATCTATTATATGTTATAAACTCACTAATACAAAATAAATCACCTACAAAAGCGAGCTATGAACATAGACTAGTCTACAAGTAGTAGGAATTTCACACTTCGCCGTAGAAATATATTTCACAACTACTGCATATCGAGATTTTCACATAGTTTTACGCCACTCCACGGAAAATGGGTGAAACTCCGCGGTGTATGTTATCCTTCCAGCGTTGTATGAGAGCCCATTGCGAACATATTCATTACTACTGAAAGCTATCTGTGAAGGGAAGAAAGTCAATTCTGTGGCTAGAACCAGAGTCAGTCCCCATTAACTTAATGGCATTAAGACACTGATACCCATATCCTCACTATAATCCAACTCATTGAAATCATAACCAGAATACACTAGCAAAATATAACCATAACCAGAATACACTAGCAGAATATAACCAGAACAAAGAATGAATCAACCAAAGGTGAGAATGGCTGAACCACTTTACTAAGTAACAAATATGAAACACTCTAGCTGAATGAGACAAATCACACAAAAAGTTTACGACTATCGAACGATCAGTTTATCACTACTAACAACAACGATGAGGATGATCAGACTTAAAACATTAGCAATGTTAGTCGCCACCCTAAGGATACATGTACATCATCATTAGCCTTACTTTAGGTCTAAGGTCCATCCTCCATCCTGCGGGAATGATCAATCACAAATGCTGCTGTGTGACGCAAATATCCTTGTTGTGATATATTCATATTTCATCTTTTGATTCATATCTCGTTCGCCTTTATGCAATTTGCATGAATTGTGTTGGACTGTGGTCGTGGAGGTTAGCCGGGAAACGCCGCACATGTTTCCTCATTAGGGTTATGCAGTTTGCAGGAAATCGATTATAACAGATTAGCTATACTTCCTGATATAGCTATAGTCGTTGATACAGTTGTTGTTATCGTGGTTTACCGTTGATTCGGGCATCACTGTTAATCGTAGCGGAAACCGTTCTCCCACACCTATTCTACTTGAGTTCTTATCGAAGTTGGCTTTGTACAAGCACAAACA